TTTTTTTTAGCTTTGTTTTCTGTTTTCTTTTCTTTATCTATTTTCTTTTCTATTTTATTCTTTTAACTTTTGTTTTATAAAATATAAATACAACTCCTAAATTAATGTTATAATTTATTCTACTGCCCCAAAAAGTTTGACACCTAATAAAAATAGTTTGCATTATTATTAATTATAAAAGGCATTTAATTAATTGTCACAGCTGCTGTTTTAATTACTCTAGAGCCTTTAACATATTATAAAATTGTGGTTTCTCCACAATAATTACCTGTGCATTATTTTGTTCACTCCGAACATTTTAGTTTTAAAAATTGAAGACTTTTATTGTTTGCCTGATTTTGAACTTGAATTTGAATCGGTTTCGAACTAACTCGAGATTAGCAACTATAATTGAGGTGACGTGGCATCATTAGCAGAGGAGCACTGTAGCTTAATTACCCGGGCGTCACAATTCATTAGCAACACGGGCAACTGGAGTTATGAACCTATATTCGCATGCATCTACATACCTACTCCGGTAGTGGCATAGTGCACTCATGCATTTAAACGGCCTTAAAAGAACATTGTTACTTAACAGGTTTGAGTACATGTACATTTTTGTCAGGGGAATAGAATAAGTTTACATGTAAACAATTAACATCGCCATGTGCACACATTATATTACATTCTTCACTAGTATTATGATTTCCTTACTTTGTTGGTAAGAACCATTTTCCCTGCCCGTCTTCTGGTTTGGGTACGAAATTACTTGCAGTATTTAAGCCTGATTGTACTTGGTCCTGCAGGAAAGAGATGGCATAGAACCGTCTCTGTGCCTGACGAAGGTACTGCATGATCTTCCATGCAGTAACAGAGATGTTTCAACGACTGAAATCTCGCCACACCTCTATTTCATTTGTCTCTTGCATCTGGCAAATGAACACAGCTTGACGCTGCGCGACCGCCCGACGCTGGATGAGGTCGACATATACATTCTGATTTCACCGCTTGTGAAGTAATCTCTGCTCGTCTGATATTTTATTATGCTACCACTGCATTTTGTATCATGTATTTATTTGATGCCATTTCTAATTGATCGGGATTTCCCAGGATGTATATGCTAACCTGCAAGTGCTTGATGGCTATCTGTAATCACCTTTCGTGGCATGGCTTATGTGATGAACATCGACATGTTTTGCAGTTCTTTTCCCACATGTTCTGCCCTTGTCTGGTATCTCACCAATAGCAAGAGAATTAATGGTTGAGCTTTTGGTTGACATGCCTTATTTTTTGAAGACGAGGCATGACGTTATTTGTCACTAAGACATTGCTAATTGTTCAAAGTAATTGCAAGAGGCAAATGACAAGTAGTAGAATTGTCATTTTCATTGATAGGATTTGTTACATCCCGTAGAGACGCGAAGGTACAAAGGGACGCGAGAGCGTCGGGGCAAAGGATGCCAAGGGAGAGGCTGCGTCGGTTCCCTTCTAATTAAGCACACATTTAATTCTAACACTTGTCGTAATCTCTGCTTGTCCATGTAGTATCATTAGCTCGAAAGAGTCTCCTTCAAAAACCCCGTGGGAAAAATTTGAGGAGTAATGTAGAATATGTTGCTAAAACTCTTTCAAACCTAGTGGGAAAAATAAGGAGAAAATGATGCAACATATAATGGTTATTATCTTTTTTAACTCAATACGAGAAAACTCAGAGTTTAGAGGACAGTAAATATGTCGTATATACTTTCTTAAAAACCCTGTGAGAAACAGAAAATAAGACATATGGCCTTGTGTTGATATTACCTCATTAAAAACCTTTTTGAGAACCTGTATAGTAAACTTGTGAAGGAAAAAAGAGTAATATGATGCCTTGAACATGAACAATTCAGAAAGATACTCCCCCTAATTCTTGGGTATTTCAAAGCCGTCGAATACTAATTCTAGGAACGAAGTTGGTAGAGACTTTGTGAACAAACGTACAAGTTTGTTGTATGATTTGACTTGCAAGATGAGCAATATAGTGATATTGCTTATTTTGTAACGTGTTTGCATCCGGGCAACACAAGAAACATTTTCGTTGAGATAATGGTTGGTGGATGTAGCCATGAGGTCTGTTTTGAAGACTCTTCATGAGAGGGCTATCACGCCAAGTAGGAACACTAAGCTTGTCTACAATCTGACATAGTGAGGATCTGATCGATGTATCCAATGATATCGGTGTTCATATTTCTGTGAAACTGAAAAACCAGGACAAGATGTTTGATGCCTTTGGAGATATTGATAGATATTCTTGAGTCCCAACCAATTGTGTTTGGTGGATCCAGTGGCATTATGGAACATTGAGTCCCAATATCTCATTTCCATCATCTCTTGGTCTAAATAGATCTTTCTCTACGTCTAGAGAATGAACTACCATGAGAGTTATGGATGGATAAGATTTGTCCACATTAAATTTCTCCAATATATTTTGGATATATACAACATAGTACACCATAATGTATGAATGAAGGTGCTCAAGTTGTTGTCACGAGTGGTATTTTGGTTTACCAAATCCTTCATTTTAAACTCCATCATTTAGATGATTACACGCGTCGTCATTGCAGACAAACAAACATGGATAATCATCATTGTAGGGGTCAGTTGTACCATATGTATCGACAACAATAAGTCGTATGGTGACTTACTGATTTCACACAATGTATGTTGCATTTTGCATTTCGATTCAGAATTGAGATTCAATCGGAAATCAATCATATATGTCTATATCTAGTGATCCACATGGATATGTAATCACTACATCTATCAACTGCAAAGATAGATGACTTTGTACTGCCAATGATATAAGTTATCGAAAAGAGATTCCACCTCTGGAGAATAGTTGGGTATCTGCGTGAACCCTTGTGATACAACACTTGCTCTATGTTTCATCACCTGCGTGAACCCTAGAAGAAAATTGATGTAGGTATTGCTTATGAATACCTTTCCATTATTGAGCAAGATCATTTCTACCTAGATTATACCTTTTGTTTGAGTTCAGTCCGAGTGTTGATCACACTTTGCCATGGCCATGGTCTTTGGATCTGAATCACTTGAAAGGTTTTTTCAATCTAGTTGAGAAATGTATGTCAACAATTGTAGACTTCTGGCTATATGTTTCTCCAGAATCTATATATCATTATATAGTTGATGGAAATATCGTTACCCATGGTGACTGCTCGCAATTTCCCAATGCGGTTGAGTCGGGTATTCCGATGTCCCGGTTATTGTGTGCACTATGACCTGGGTTGGTGGAGGTTTCCCATCCACTGGGTGTATACTACCCATTAGGTGTTTGTCAACGTAAAGTTGACATGCATTTACTGATTCAGAAGCCTTGATACCCTTGCTTGCAAGATGCTGAATCCTGATGTACTATTGTCGTACTTCTTCCCCTGTTGCTTTGAACGGGGAGTTGAGTGGTTTTACTTGGTACCTCCACTCTTCCCGACATATTTTTGCAGGATTGTAGGATTGTGCGACACCTTTATAATCAGTAAATGAATCTGGCAGGTTACTTGCAATGTGTTGCAAATCTTTTGAACGCATGGTTCCGATCTTTGAGTACATGGATTTGAGGCAGAAATGTGTTGAACATTACACTAATTTCCTGGCATTCTTTATGGTACTTGAAATCTCCTCCTAATGCCTGGAAATGTTTCTCATTTAATCAGCATACTGGCCTTGAATAACTCCCCATGTGAGGGGCTTGAGGTATTGACGGTAATACAGTTATTCCTCAGATAGATACCAACTATATGTTGAGGGGCCAATGATGTATGCCGGATGGTTATATCGGCATGCAACCGAATTACTGCGGATGGGAAATACTTGGTAAATTTCCATGTATCAAAGATAGAGGGGAATAATATTATGCAGTTTGGTCATGAGTGTGTAAGGCTGCATGACTCCAACGTAAAGTTGGTAAGTTGCAATTCGAAGTAAAGATCATGCAATGAGCTAAATTCTTTGGATGGAATTCTACCAAACCATTTTGAGTCTAGACATTAGGACAAATTGCTAAACTTCAATCCGAGAGCCATAGAGAAGGCACTCAAGAAGAATTATGCAATGCTATCCATACGATTTGCTTGAAATCGATGTCAGGATAATGAGCCAATGGTTTCGTGTGAATAAAGCACACAGTTAAGACCATCATGTAGATATGTCTTTTACAACCACAGAATACCTGAATAGTCCACTCAATGGTTGGGAAGAGCCACTTATCTCGACTTGATGCATTCAAGGAGTCTGAGTACTTCATCATACACTTTAAGGTGTGCGAACCTTAAAATTTGCCTCCCCGTGTCACATGTAGTGCACACAAAATCCAAATATTGTTAGAATTTAGCATCATAATGATCATAAACCATCGGAATTGCTGATAGTTTCGGTTTCAACCCAATGTCAATGATGACCAAAGCGGGAATGCCAAGTTTGTCATGCAAAAGACACTCTGAAAAACTATCTCGCATGCAACATGTGCTACGGGTTTCGTAGTATGTGTAGTGCAATGCCAATGATACATAGAGAATATGCTTGCCATATCCGTTGCATATGGTAAAGAGAAGATATTCCTCTTTGTTGTCATCACAAGTTTCACTATGGAGACTATTTTGACGAATACCTCTATAGTTTAGTAGGATACGAGTTAAACCTGGGAAGCGATAAAGCATCCCGACGTTACTCGAGTACCCACAAGGACAGTAAATATGACTTGGGTTGAGACAACAAATATGACATCGCGTCTAGCGATTTTAAAATATCTCTTTTTTCTCAATGAGAGTGGAAACATTTCACTTCCCCGAGTATAGAGTTTGTGGTCGATATGTCCACAAGGCACATATCATCTTTCATCAGATTGACTCCCGTAGAAATCTATATATAGACATGAAAATTCTCAATATGAAAATCACTGTCAGATATATAGAATACATACAAATGTATTTGTACCAAAGTGCTGATACAATATATTGTGATATACAATACATGATGACAACAATACTTACGTTGTTGTTACAGCATCATAAATGAACATAAATTATATTTACCACTCAGGAGATTGAGAGACTATTCATAGTCTCCAAACATGTCGGTTGAGGCATATTCAACCACACGTTCTCCGTGCCCATATGATCCCGTCATCACTGGTGATGTCGGGTTGAAGGTTGAAGTGAGCTTCAAACCTTTGTAAGAGTTAATCTAGTTGTAGTATTAGGTATGGTCACGTAGTAGTCCAAAGAGTCCTAGTACTAGTCGGTTTAGTGTTCACGTAAGTAAATCAGACAAGTGCTTGTACGAGTCCGGGTCTCCGTCGTGTTGGTTGCCGACTCGGCGACGTGTTGGACGGGGTGGCTGTATCCCTTTATATACTGAGCAAATAAACGAAAAAGGTGCAAGTCGACCGCACCACAAAAAGAGTTTCTTCTGTTCATTCGCAAGCTTACGTATAGAGAGTCACCGGCTACACACGTACGTACAAGCCAGCCAGATCGATCAAGCTGCTTGCTTGATAGCTAGCTAGTTTTGCACGTATTTTGTGTAGCTTCTGGGCAATTTGGTCTAGTGATCAAAAGCCAACAATTGGTATTAGAGCCTCGACGAGCTACGATCAACGATGACGGACAGCGACGCAGAGTCGGTCAAGTCCGGCAACGGCGGTTCCAAGGCGAACAAGAACGGTGACAAGGTGAATAAGGGCGGCAAGTCAGCGACCGGTGGTGGCGGAACGGGCGGCGCCAACGTGCAGGCGCATCGCAACATCCCCATCCAGTACCCGATGCTCACCGACGCCAACTACGGCGTGTGGGCAGTCAAGATGAAGATTATTCTCCGAACCCTTCGAGTGTGGGAGGCCATCATGGACGAAGACGTCGACGAGGAGTGCGACGAAGGTGCCATGGCCGCCATAGCCCAGTCTGTGCCAGATTTCGTGCTGATGACATTGGCGGAGTTCGAGACAGCAAGAGAGGCGTGGAACGCA